GCCGCCGCCGTTGCCCCCCCCGCCGCCGCGGGCAGCACCTGCAGGGTGGCGCTGGGGGGGGGCGCACCCACAGCCCCCCCTGTGCCGCCCCCCGCTGTCCCCCCGGCCGCTGCCACCACCGCTGTCCCCGCTGTCGCGCCCGTCCCCGCCGCCGCCGCGGTGACGCCGGGCGGGTTGGGGGGCGCGGCGGGCGCAGGGGGGGACAGCAGGGTGAGCCCCACGCCCCCGATCTGGGGCAGCGCGTTGGGGGGCGCCGGGGGCGGCGCGGGGGCGGCGGGCGCGGGGCTTTTGGGGGGGTTGGCGGGCACCGAGGGCACCGGGGGGGGCGCGGGGGCGGCGGGCAGCTCGTACTTCTGCAGCTGCAGCAGGTACGAGTCGGCCGTGGGCACCGCGCCCCAGCTCACCTCCAGCGACGTGGTGTTAGCCCTGACCAGCTGGACACGGCCCGGCGCTGGGGGGCGCTCTGTGGGGACACAATTGTACACCTGAGACACACCTGGATACGCCTGAGATACACCTGAAATACAGCTGGGTACACCTGAGATACACCTGGCGTTAGCCCTGAGCAGCTCCAGGTACCACAGGTCCTTGCAGGCCCCCCAGGTCCTTGCAGCCCCCCCAGGTGGACTCACCTGTCTCCAGGTACCAGAGGTCCTTGCAGCCCCCCCAGGTCCTTGCAGCCCCCAGGTGGACTCACCTGTCTCCAGGTACCACAGGTCCTTGCAGCCCCCCCAGGTCCTTGCAGCCCCCCCAGGTGGACTCACCTGTCTCCAGGTACCAGAGGTCCTTGCAGCACACCTGGTTGTTCCAGGCCTTGCGGTAGCCGTCGCGCCCGCTCCAGATGTAGAGGCGGGTGGCGATGGCCACGGCGCAGTGGCCGGCACGAGCCCGTGGCACGTTGTCCTCCAGGGTCTCCAGCACCAGGGGCTCCCAGGCCATCGAGTCTGGGGGCGATTTGGGGGGGCCGTGAGGGCTTTGGGGGGGATTCGGGGGAATTTTGGGGTAATTCAGGAGGGGTTTGGGGTCGGTTTTGGGGGTCCCAAGCCCCCTCCTCACCCAGGTTGAGGCAGGCCAGGGTGTTGGTGCACTTCCACTCCTTCTCGTGCGTCGCCACCTTGACGTCATCCATCACCAGGGGCACCCACCCCCCAAAAACGTACATCCTGGGGGGGGCAAAGGTCAGGGGGGTCAGGGGGGACACCCACAGACCCCCACCCAAATCCCCAAATTGTTATTTTTGGAGGTGGAGTAAAAAAATCGCATACGTTAATTATAAAATTAAAATAACTTAAAATAGAAAAAATAGAATAGCAGTACAATAAAATAGATTAGCAGTAAAACAAAACAGAATAGTAAAAAACCAAAATTTAAAAAAATAGAAAAACAAAAATAAAATAATGCAATCCCCCTAGGAACCCCAACTCTCTCCTGGGGTGGGCACAGGGACACAAAGGGAGCCCTCCCAGGATAAAGGGGGGGTTCAGGGGACCCCCGAGGGGGGATTGGGGTATTTTTGGGGGGGGTCGCCCCCAGACTCACTTGTTGCCGATGGTGGTGGCCGAGTGGAGGCTGCGGGGGAGGGGAGCGACCCCGCTCAGGCTGGGCTTGTTCCACGTCAGCGTCTCTGAGGGACCCAAAACACCCCAAAAGGTGAGGAAACGGCCCCAAAACTCTTCAAGATGTGAGGAAATGTCCCCGAGTACCCAATTCTGACACGCCCCTGTATCCCCCAGACCCCAAGTTCCCTAAAAACCCCCAAAAATTCCATGTCCGGAGTCCATCAATCCCCCAGCCTGCAGCCGCCGTA